TGATCTAGTGGAGTAGGCATAGGAGCTGTTTTGTCACAAGAGAAGAGGCGGTTGCATTTTTTAGCGAGAAATTGAGTGAAGCTCGCCAAAAGTGGAGCACATATGATCAAGAGTTTACGCTGTATTTAGAGCTCTAAGACAATGGGAGCACTATCTAGTACAGAGGGAGTTTATCTTGTTCACTGACCATCAGGCTTTGAAGTTCTTACACAGTCAGAAAGTGATCAATAAGATGCATGCTCGATGGGTAAGTTTTCTGCAGAAATTCCCTTTTATTATTCAACATAAATCAGGGACTCTTAACAAGGTCGCATATGCTTTAAGTAGAAGAGCTTTTTTGCTAACAACTTTAGCACATGAAATTGTTGGATTTGAGTTCTTGAAAGAATTGTATGAGAGTGATATTGAATTCAGGGAGTTATGGGCCAAGTGTAGTGGAAAGCATCCTTGTGCGGATTTCCACATTCGAGAGGGCTATTTTTTTTAAAGGTGATCGGTTATGCATTCCTTGCTCGTCTTTAAGAGAGAAATTAATCCGGGATCTTCATGGTGGTGGTCTTAGCGGTCATTTGGGTAGAGACAAGACCATTGCTAGCTTGGAGGAAAGGTATTACTGGCCGCATCTAAGAAGAGACGCGGGGACTATTGTCAAAAGGTGTTATATTTGTCAGGTTTCTAAAGGTCAGTCTCAAAATACTGGTCTTTATATGCCTCTACCTATTCCTGATGATATTTGGCAAGATTTGGCTATGGATTTTGTGTTGGGATTGCCTCGTACGCAACGAGGTGTGGATTCTGTGTTCGTAGTAGTTGACAGGTTCTCTAAAATGACTCATTTTATTGCTTGCAAGAAGACCGCTGATGCGTCAAATATAGCTAAACTATTTTTCAGAGAGATCGTGCGTCTTCATGGAGTTCCTAAATCGATTACTTCAGATAGGGATACAAAGTTTCTCAGTCATTTCTGGATTACTCTTTGGAAAATGTTCGGGACAGTTTTAAACAGAAGTTCTACAGCTCATCCACAAACTAATGGACAAACTGAAGTAACCAACAGAACTTTGGGGAATATGATTCGGAGTGTTTGTGGAGACAAGCCAAAACAGTGGGATTTAGCTCTGCCTCAAGTCGAATTCGCTTACAACAATGCTATACATTCGGCAACAGGGAAATCACCTTTTTCCCTAGTATATACTTCTGTCCCTAAGCATGTGGTTGATTTGGTGAAGTTGCCTAGAGCGCATGGGGTTAGTGTAGCAGCTAAGAATATGGCCGAGGAAATTTTATCTATTAAAGAGACCGTCAAAGCTAAGTTAGAAGCTACCAGGCTAAAGAATAAGATCGCTGCTGACAAGCATAGGAGAATCAAAGTGTTCAAAGAAGGAGATGATGTCATGGTTTTCCTTCGCAAGGAGAGGTTCCCAGTGGGTACGTACAACAAGCTTAAACCTCGAAAGTATGGTCCATTTAAGGTGTTACGGAAGATCAATGATAATGCTTATGTGGTGGCTCTCCCAGAGTCTATGAACATATCCAATACCATTAATGTGGCTGACATTCATGAGTATCAAGCAGATGAGATTCTTTATCCAGAAGATAACTCGAGGTCGAGTTCTTCAGATGTGGAGGAGACTGAGGTAGGAAACTTCTAGACGATTCTAGAAGATTTAGGATTCTAGATTACATTATTTCCTTTTTTCTTTATTATCTTAATTTCTATTGTTTTATTTTTTTTTCATAGACTTTTACTTTTCTTAATTTCTTTATTTCAATCTTCTTTCCTTTTTTCTAGTTGGGATTTATTGGTCCTAGGTTCTTTGTAAGAGACATCTCATAATTACTTTCTTAAGAAGCATAAATCTTTCTCTTTTCTAATGGATTCTAGAGTTTCTGGTGGATTCCAGAGTTTTATCTTTCAAGTTCATCGCTTGTGAACTTGTGTTTCAATCTAGGTTTAGCGCTTGCTTTTCCTAAGGTTTTCTGACTGCGTCAGTTTTTTTTGTGTAAAATAAAATTATATATTTCCATAACAATTAAAGATAATGATTGTAAATTTTGTAAATGTTTGGAACAAAATATTATATAATTTATCAGCAAAAAAAAGATATATATCCAACATAGTTTTTCTTATAATAAACTCTTTAACAGATTAGTTTCTTAAATGTGAATAACTATGATAAATACTTATCAACATCATTATACCAACAACAACATCATCATGTCATCATCATAAACATCATCACCAACACATTCATAATCATCATGTTTATCACCATCATTAGAATCACATATTTGTTTCAAACTAATATCATCATTTAAAGTGGCAAATCTAGAAAATGTTATTTAGTACTCAAGACATAATAAATTGGGGGTTTTACTCTTGAGTCAATTGGGGTTTTTACTCTTTCTACCTTTTTTCTATATTTTTTTGTTTGTAGATACACTTTAACAAAGTGATATACTACACACCTAACATGAGTGTATCTGGACTTACTTTTTACATTATCTTCAGATTGAACACTAGATACATATACTTTGTTCTTTCACTTAATATCTCTTTGCCCAAAAAATATAGTTAAGAAGATTAAGAGTATTAAGAACACACAAGAGCACATAAAAAAGTTCAAGCCTTGCCTTGTTGAGATCTTCCCCACCAAGCCATTGATGGCCAAGCCTTCCGGTGACGGCATTTGTGACCTCCACAAGAGTTGTGCTAACGAAGAAACCGAATGCGGTTGAACACCATCCCAAAGCCGTGCTTATGCTCTTCATGTTCGACGGAGCTTCTCTATAGAAGAACTCTAGCATCCCTCCTAAAGTCAACATATCAGAGACACTTAGCATCAGATACTGAAACACTAGCCACAAAACAGAGATTCTGAAGTTGTTATGAACCACTTCATGTTTCCTCTTGGCCTCAACGATGGCAGCAACCGCCATCGAAACAGAGGAGAGAGCTAGGCCGAGTCCAATGCGTTTCAAATTGAAACTAGATGATCTATTGTTGCTGCCTAATGAGATCCTTTTTCCAAAGAATTCGTATAAAGGTATAGAAAAGAGCATGAAGATGAGAGGAATGGCGTTGAGGGAAGGTACGGGGATCTCGAAAGAGTGAAAGAGTTTCTTGTTCATGAGCATTCCTTGTTGTGCAGAGAAGGTAGATAGTTGTGCCACGCAACAGCTCATGACAATTGTGCTACCAAAGATTGGTAAAAGACCCAAAAACGTTCTTGTTTCCTCAACTTCTGTTTCTGAGATGTTTTTGTTCAACATTGCTTTATCTATCCACCTGAAAAATTAAATTCACGTAGAAATCAAAAATTAAGTTTACGAGTTTTTTTTTTTTGTTTTTCAATAACTAAGAGGTTTTGGGCCTACGTCCGTACATCCCCTCTGGCCGAGGAACATAGTATATTAGACTCTTAAGGTATTTCAGCTCATTCATCATGGACTAAATGAGTGTTTGTATTTTCAGTTCACTTATACATTAGATTATGTCTCTTTAAAGCAACGTTCAATACTTACTTTAACTTGTTGTGACCAATGTTCTTGTCAAAAGGGATAAGACTTCGCATCATCTCTTCATCCAAATCAGATCTATTTCGGTTTCTTGCGGCAGAAATAATCACAATTGCAATCTTTTTCAACGGACTTCCATTAGGACGCTTGAACCGATAAAACGGTAGCCCTACCGTAAAAATACAAAGCGCAGTCGCTAGAATCCCAACCGATATATTGAAGCTCCACTTCCACCCTTTCTTTTCCTCGATCAACAACACAACGGTTACGGCCAAGAGGCATCCAAAGCATATAGAGAAGTATAACCAATCAAAGAATCTTGAGATCAGTCTTGGATTTCTTCTATCAATTTGATCGCCTCCGTGAGTGGGCAACGAGGCCTTTATACCGCCCGTACCAGTAGCCATCGCATAGAGTCCTGTGAAAAGAATCGTTGATTGAAGAGTTGAAGGTGTTTTACCTTTCTCGGGCAGTAGCTTAGGGTTATGAGCTTGGAACGTCAACAAGATCAATCCCTATCAAATGATACAACCTTCAAGTTAATGTGATTATCCATTTCATCATTAAAATGCATTATCTAAATGGTAGATAACATTTTATAAAGTTTTTAATTACCATGAGTTCAATGCAACAGAAGATGATGAAAGTTGTGAAATGAGTGAGGAAAGAGTCAGCGATAAAACCACCAAAAAGAGTGAGTAAAAACGATGTTCCCATGAAATTAGTGACCATGTTTGCTGCTGTGGCTGGTGAATAATGCATCGATCCCATGAAGTATTTCACGAAATTGAATCCATTAGCTATGAACACTATGTTCTCCATCATCACCACAACTACATTTACCACACCAAATATATTATGACATTAAAAATTATAAAACAAAATATAAAAATACGAAGTTTTGAGTTTTAAATATTTACCACAAACAATAGATGCAGCTCTGATCCCACCATGTTTGCCAGAGATTGCCTCTTTACCTTTCCAATTTTCAAACTTATCCTCCATCTCATTCTCCATAGCTTTGTTATATCAATTGCTAAAGACTATGTGTATATGTGCTTTCGATGTATCTTATGAACACGAGAATTCTAACACATTATATAGGAGTGAACAAGTATTTATATGTAGCTAATATCAATATTAATCTGACATAGTGACATGTGACATTTGTCAAACATGCTGATGCTGGCCAATTTAGACCTTCTTTTAATGAAAGGTGAAATATATAGATATATTATTAATTAACTTGTTATAAACTTATAAATATGGAAATAATCCATAAGAGCAAATGATTATTTTATAATATAAAAAAAAATATAAATTTAGATTAAAACACTTATCATGATTTTTACATTTAGAGAGGTTTTACAAAAGTATATATATAAAATTTAAGATATCTTGAATTCATAATGTAAATAATGACCATATATTTTACTATGTAAGCACAATATATCGTAAATTATATAGGATAAAACTTGTTTCTTCCAAATTGGGCTACCAATCACAGATTGAATTTTTAATTAATGTGTGGTTGAGGAAAATAAAAAACCTTGGTTGAGCAAAGACTTTTTGTTTATATATACCGTACCCTATCATATGCAAAGACTTCCGAATAAGAAAATTTAGATAATTATAAAACTGGTTTCAATTATTCTTTTTACAATTTATGCTTCTTCTTTTTTGCGCTAAAACGTAAATATCATATAAAATGAATATAAGGTATTACATGAACGCATTAGAAACAAAAATAATATTGGCAAGAAAACTAAAACAAGATTACAATTTTTTTATCAGTCTCGAATTCTTTGATGCAATGTGATCAAAAATAACATAATAGTTTTCCACTTCTTTTTGTGCCTGCCAAAAGAGATAGTATTTCTAAACTCACGATCCATAAACCAAGATAGTCGCCAGTGGAAGGTATTGAAAGTTGTTATATTTTCCCCTGTTTCGAGAGGTGGAAGACAGTGACTTGAGCTACAATCTTTCGAAGAAGCGTTGGATTCACTATTACGATAAATTTTAGTACCGATTTATAATTTGCAAATCTATCCCCTTATTATTAAAAGGGAAGTACAAATTGAAAAATGGTCAAATTTAGCATCAATTTCAATTTCAATTTTGGATTTTGTTCTTTGTTAATCAAAATCGACAAGGGCAATTTGGTCATAAAGTTTCATTAAACTTTATGAGATCCGCGTGTTAATACTCGGGTGGGTTAGGAGTAATTAACTCTTAATCACATAGTCAAGTTCTTAATCGGGTTTAGCATCCACATAAGTCAATCTAAGCCATTCAAATTATTTTGTAAATTTAGTTCATTTTTGGTATCTAAATATGAGCTTATTCGATCATAATAATTGCAAATTCGATGTAATTATCTCTCATAATAACTGCAAATTTGATCATATATTGCCTAATCCCAAAAAAATCGTAATTACTATCTCTCTTAAATATAATCCTAACCATAACCAACTCTACAATATTCATCATTTATCTAAATATAGCCAATCATTCAATTCTATTCCAAATTCGAATATATTTTGCTAATAGTATCTTTGATTTTATGCTTTGTCTCCAAGATATTCTCCTAGATTTTAAAATTATTGGAGCCAAAAACCCTAGCATCCTAGAATGCTATAAATATCAACGTCATTCTCATTTCCAATCCATCACTCAAATTCCTCTAACCTTAGCATCCTTCTTATTTAGATATCACAAATGGCTCAAGCAATTGCTTACCTCGATGACATCAAACCATACAAAACCACTTGGAGAGTTCAGGTCCGTGTCCTTCATACCTGGAAGACATTTACCACAAAGTTTGGTGAGACTTTCGACATGGTTCTGTCTGATGTCAAAGTAAGAATTCTTTGTCATGTCTATATTAGTTCAATATATTAAAATAAGTTGTCTAATGATATACTAATATATTTCTATTTCTATGGTAGGGCAAGAAGATCCATGCGTCTGTGAAGAGAGAGCATCTCAACCGCTTTGAGAAGCTCATGGTTCCAGGAGAGTGGAAGGCTATTGAAAACTTTGGATTGACTTATGCAACTGGTCAGTTCAAAGCAACTGATCATCGTTACAAAATGGGCTTCATGGCCCAAACAAGAGTTGTGAGGATGGACCCATTGTCTGATTCTTATTACCTGTCATTGACTCCTTTCAATGATGTTTTAACTGCTGGTCTCAACCAGAACTACTTGATTGGTACATTTTCATATGAGCTATATTTTCATTTTCATCTAATCCTTTATGCAATATATAATGACGTTTTGTTATTCTCTTTTGGTTCAAGATGTTGTCGGTCAAATCGTGAATGTTGGTGAAATGGAGACTATCGAAGTGCAAAATAAACCTACTAAGAAGATTGATTTTGAACTGAGGGATCATACGTAAGTTTCATTCATTAGTTCTGGCTGCATTAAAATTAAAGAGTCTTATTTGTGAATCTAATATTGCTATTACCATATTTAGGGATGACAGGCTACCCTGTACTCTATGGGGTTCATTTGCAGAACAAGTTTTCACTGCCTGTGAAGCTTCTGCTGGTGAGATGGTCATATGTTTGGTGAGATATGCTAAGATCAAGACTTACAAAGGTATTTAGTTTTGGTATTAATATCATACTTATAGTTTTTTTAAATCTTTTAAAAATTTAGCTGATGACACTTTCTTTATGTTTTGCTTTCTAGATGTAAGGAGTATCTCCAATGCTTTCAATACATCTCAGATCTTGATCAATCCAGACATCCCTGAGATTGTTGCCTTCAAAGAAAGTTTACCAAAAGATGGGCTTGCTCTTACTCTTCTTGAGTCTAAACCAAAGCAGGAAATGATCGAGCTGCCTACAGGGGATTTCTATCTTCAGTTTCCTAAGAAGACCATCAAAGAAGTCGCTGAGATGTTTGATGTAATAGTTCTTTTTTTCTTTTACATTCTAATTTGATTGCATGGTGCATTCTAACCAACTTTTAAATGTTCCTATTTTCAGACTGGGAGGGTTAAGGTGCTCTGTACAATATATGATATTGACAGAGATTGGTCGTGGTATTATATTGCCTGTAGGAAATGCAATAAGAAAGTGTCTAAGGTTGTCACAACTACTCTCAAGCCACAATTCTGGTGTGACTCTTGCCGATCACCTGTGTGCAATGTGGTTGCAAGGTATGGTTCATAATCTACTGATATATTAATGAGCTCACATCAACGTTGAGTGGTGTAACCAATCCGGTTCTATCAAATACTTATTTAAGTATATTAACAAAGGACAAGATCGTGTAGCTATC